AGAATCTCACATCGGGAGTCGCATCCCTTTCAAATTTTGCTGATGAAGATGTTTTTTTTATCAACTGACGAAGATGGCTAGTATTCGATTTCAAAGAGGTGTTGAGAGATTTGTAATGAAGGTCGAGGATATCACTGGTATTTTAAATTGCTAAAACTTGAATTTATTATAATTTTTATTTTCACAATTTTGTGTTGATAATCTTTTAGTTTCATCAAATATTATGAATATACTTCTAATTATCTTATGTTATTATAAATAAATTTGATAGCTAATTATAACTATTTTTATTGTTTCGTTTTAGTATCCTTTATATACTAAAGCGCAAGTCGCTTGACCAATTAGAATTTGATTTTTGAAAAAAAATTAAAAAAAAATTCCATGACTAATCAAATTTTACAAATGGCATAAATTTTTTTAAAAAAAAAATTGGTAAAAACTGGTTACGTTCCAGATTTCCAAAACTCAAATAATCTTCCTAAAATTTCTCACATTATCATCACGATCTCAATAGCTGAAAGTTTAAACAATTTATCTTCTGCATAACTTTAATCATTTATATACTAAAGCGCAAGTCGTTTGACCAATTAGAATTTGACATTTGGAAAAAAAATTTAAAAAAAATTCCATGACTAATCAAATTTTACAAATGGCATAAATTTTAAAAAACAAAATTGGTAAAAAACTGGTTACGTTCCAGATTTACAAAACTCAAATAATCTTATTAAAATTTCTCACATTATCATCACGATATGACGATTTGAATAATTGATTAGTCCAAAAAATTAAATTCCCATGGCAAATTTACTCCAAGAGACGGCCCATACCCCGCCGTCTCCTAACCAACGCGATTCCCGAGCCACCTGACTCCAGCCAGTGTCGCGATTCATTCTCAATCGGTCACTCCCGAAACCACCCCAGAGCTTAGCGAAAATCCACTGACATTTTGACTTGCCATGGAACTTACCAATCTGAGACCACAAACAACCCAACTCTGCAAAACTCCGATTTGGCCTTCTCATTGACTTGAATCCAAAAGAGAGTGGAAAAAATGGAGAAGAAGACTTGGAAGAATGGAGAAAAAAGAATGTTCATCAGAAAAAAAAAAAGAATGGAGAAAAAGACACGGAAGACAATTATTTAAAGCTATATTATTAAAACTAAGTGAAATCAATTATTTAGAATGGTTTAGAAAAAATAAAACGACAATTTTTAGACCAGTGGCAATAGAATGTAATTATTGAGGAAAACTTAGGGTTAATTAATAAATGTACTTCAGTTTTAATAGTTTAGATGAAGAATATTCTTGTGTACACTTTTAATCAAATTGATAATCAGTCTAATAAAGAATATAATAAATGTTTAGATCGACCAATATATATTTTTAAAAATATAATTATTATCGTGATGACACATTAATACATTCAAATATTGTAATGTTTTCAATTAATATATAAAATATTATACCATAATACTTTGAGATGGAAGTGCACCGTCATTTGTTGGAATAGTAAGCCATCTATATATTTACCTTGTCATTTGTTGGAATAGTAAGCCATCTATATATTTACCTTCTCCGGTCCACTTTTATTTTTATCTCTGTATTTTTTTTAAAATGAAGAAATTTTATTATATAAATGGATTTACTCTAATGTATGTTTGTATATTAAAGTTTATGTGTTTTTTGGGAAAAATATAGATAACTATTATTTTCATTCCTAAATTTAGAGATGAAAAGTAATATTTCTATATATTTTATTTTGTTCTGGAGAAACTATATTATATAGTCATATAAATGAAAATCCTTTATATAATAGATGTATCTATTTTAGAGGATATTAATATACATATATACATTGAAGATGCTCTTATAATTAAACATATTAATTAAGTAAACTATAACTTTCTGCGGCGAATGAGCTGCAAATTTCACTTTACGCCTATTGTGATGAAGCGATTCGTATACGTATCCAATGATATCATCTTACTCCTTTTCTCTCTTACGCGTGATAATTGATCATCGTTTTTCTATTTGTTTACTTTAGTACTTTTATACATTGATCACTAATTTGCTTCAGTTTTTAATTTATGTTTTAAGCATATAAAGTTTTCTGAATATATGGCTAATATCGAATATAGCACACTAATATTGTAAATAATTATAAAATAGAGTTTGGTACGTACGTTTATCGTGATCAGAAACCAACAAAAAAGTTATTAACAAAGTGGTCGTGACTCATGCACGATGATAATACATTGATTCATACCTAATAAGCTTTTCTCGTAAACCATATTTCAAGTGCTTTTATAGAAAAGGTGAATGTATTATTGTTAAAGCCGTGAAAGTACGTATCCTATCGGACCAAAGGATCAGGATGAGTTTAACAGTCAACCGGCTTGAAGCCAATAAGTTTAAAATGAGTGCATATATTAGGGCAGAGATTTTTATCCGGGATCCGGATTCCATCCGAGATCCGCTCCGAAATTAGGATATCAAGAGGTGTCTGGATCCGTGTAAATCGAATTCGGATCCGGATATCTTAATTTTTAGGTCTAGATATGCGGATTCAGATTCCTGTTTTAAAAAATATATTATTTTTTTTATTTTATTTTAATATTCTACTTTTATATTAATAATAGTATATGTCATATACATATTCATAAATTATGCTTAAATATTTAGTTTGTGTATTATTTTAAAAAAATTTGTTTTAGATTTTTAAATTATTTTTACGGATTCGAATCCAAATGTGGGTATCCGCATATATCACAATATCTAGATGGATATCCGAAGTTTGGATATTCGGAAGACACGAATCCACATCCGGATACTAAAACCACAGATCCGACGAATCCGGATCCGGATACGTCAAATTTCCCGAATATCTAAATCCGTCTCTCCTAGCATATATATATATTGGTGAGTTTGTGTATGCGTATGTATACATAGATATGCCAAACTCAAAGCTTCCAAAATGTTGTGGCATGAAAAGATGAGAAAATACCATGGAAACCAAGGTTCTATGCACATGGCGTTACATCTTTTAGTTTTCTTTCCACAATCCCATCTAGTAGATTTTTTGTGGGATCCTATATTTTTTTAGTTTCTATATAAATATATAAAAACTTTTGCCAAACTAAAAAAACTTAACACATATCCACTAATATGAGTACCTTTTCCTTGTGTACTTTGAAATATGCACTTTACAATTGTAATTTCAAGTACCAATGAAGAGAAAAAGATCTTATCATTGTAGCTAAGTTAGTCACCATCACCTGGCTAGCATAGGTTAGCTAAATCGTGTTATTCCTACTTTATTGAGGTTATTAGAGCCTTCCTTAATCACATATACCTATCACATCTTTTATTTTGATGGATTATATTGCCTAACTTACTTTCATATGAACAAAATTTACAAAAGTTTGATAAAAAAAAAATTACAGAAGTTTGGAGATGGTGACATTTATATAGGTTGATACTACGATTAAAAGTTTCTTTATAAACAAAACTTAAATACTTATCTTTATTTGAATAGTAAACAACAAATTAGGAGATCACAATGAATTTTCTTCATTTTATGACGAAAATACTTTCAATAGATTTCGGTGAAAATATAGGATAATTAGCTGCATATAGTATCACTCTTTTGGAATTTACCCACATAAAAACTCTTTAGCAAATTCGTTTTTGAGTTGGCAAAAACTCATGTGTAAGCTCAGTTTTAAGAAATTTTGTGAGTTTAACTCAGGTTACACAAATCGTTTGTTATATACTCACTGGATTTAGCTAAAGTCTCTAGGCACTTGGATTATTATACAATAAGCACAAAATGTATGGATAGTTATACTTATACATCACAATTTCCGTACCTATATCATCACGTATTGCAAGATATCAGTATCATAGCTGTTTTCAAATATGTATTTTTAAATCAGAATTCATTATTTTAAAGAAAAAAATGAAAAAATGTGGAGATGGAGGGACCAAGAACTTAATAATAGTGGAGGAGCTTAATTAATGGAAGAGAATGGGTTTGATGTGATTTTATTCATTTGGTTCCACATACATCACAGCTTGGCTCATCATCTTCTCCACGTGGCTTCCATTCCACGTCATCATTTACTTGGCTTCCTCTTGTGGGTCCCCCTTGACCTAGTTCTATCCTAGAAAGACGCGTCACCATCGCTGCTCCCTAATTCCATCACTTCCATTTCTATTCTAAACCTCACCATAAATTACATAATTATCACACTTTCTTTAAGTTGAAAATTAATGTCTTAAATTCTTATTTGGATGGAAACATAACAAAATTATTTGTATTACATTTTAATTTTTATAATCATTTAATTCATTTGGTTTTGAATTAGAATATAATCAAATGTATATGAATGATAAACTATTTATTACAAACACAAATTAAGAAAGCAAAAAGTAAATAGATGAAAGTTTTTAATACATATTAAAACATTAGTTTTTAAATAAAAAAGATAATTTTTATTTTACATATTATCACTATTGTTGATTTTATATAATCATATAAAAGCATATTCAAAAATGTCATAAAATAACTAATGTAATAATATTAAAAAACATTTATCATAATTTTTTAATTAGTTTTGTATTTTTTTTCTTAAAACTATGCAATGTGGATATATTCTAATAAAATAATACAAAATGGTCGGTAGAAAATCGTATTTCCCAATACCAAAATATTACTTCATCCTCAAGCACTATCTCTGTTTATTACAAGTGCTCAACCGTCACAAACCCCATTAGCTAATTTTTTATATAAACAAATCCAACTCTTAAGCAATCATACTCACAAGCAGTATGTTATTAATAATTAAAATAAATATCAGCAGCTCATGATCATAATATTATACAAATATATCAAATATCATCTCCTGGAAAAAAATATTCACGACACATGGGATCTTCTCCTCTATATAACATCATAACCTTCAAACACTATCTTCATTCCAATTCAAAACCATTTCTCCAACTTCTCTCTCTCTCTCTCTCTTAACTGTTAAGAACATTTATAAAGACAAATGGAGAGTATGTTTCGTTTAATGGATAAAGAACAAAAAGTAACAACAACTAACCGGTGCATTTGGGTCAACGGACCGGTTATCGTCGGAGCAGGACCGTCCGGTTTAGCAACAGCCGCTTGTCTCCGAGAACAAAGCGTTCCTTTCGTAGTTCTCGAGAGAGCAGACTGTATAGCTTCTTTATGGCAAAACAGAACATACGACCGTCTCAAGCTTCACCTCCCGAAGAAGTTCTGCCAATTACCGAAAATGCCCTTCCCGGAGAGCTTCCCGGAGTACCCGACGAAGCGTCAGTTCATCGACTACCTCGAGTCCTACGCCTCACGGTTCGAGATAAACCCCAAGTTCAACGAGTGCGTGCAGACCGCCCGGTTCGATGAGACCAGCGGGTTGTGGCGAGTCAAGACCGTGTGCAACGCTGAGTCAACTCGGTCGGAGGTTGAGTATATTTGCCGGTGGCTTGTGGTGGCTACGGGAGAGAATGCGGAGAGAGTGGTCCCGGAGATTGATGGGCTTAATGAGTTTACCGGCGAGGTTATCCACGCATGTGATTACAAGTCCGGCGAGAAGTTCGCCGGAAAGAAAGTACTAGTCGTCGGTTGTGGAAACTCCGGTATGGAAGTGTCTCTTGACCTCGCTAATCACTTCGCTAAGCCTTCCATGGTCGTTAGAAGCTCGGTAAGTCATTAACGATTCAAACTCTAACATTCAAGAATCAAGAATCAAGAATCAAGAATCAAGAATCTGATATTTCAATTTTTTGTTTTGTTTAGGTTCATGTGATGCCGAGAGAGGTAATGGGGAAGTCAACGTTCGAGATTGCCATGAAGATGTTAGCATGGCTTCCTTTATGGCTAGTTGACAAAATATTGTTGGTTTTGTGTTGGTTGGTGCTTGGGAACATCGAGAAGTACGGTTTGAAACGACCCGAGATGGGTCCGATGGAGTTAAAGAGCGTGAAAGGGAAGACGCCGGTGCTTGACATCGGAGCTTTGGAGAAGATCCGGTCAGGAAAGATCGATGTGGTTCCAGGGATCAAAAGGTTTGATGGGAACAGAGTTGAACTCGTTAATGGTGAACAACTCGAGGTTGATTCGGTTGTACTCGCTACTGGTTACCGTAGCAACGTTCCTTATTGGCTACAGGTGAGAAAACAAAACCAAGAAGTTTAAAATTTTTGGTAACTGATTCCGGTTTAACTAAACCGGGTTTGTTCTTTTTGGTCATGTGTACTTATTGTGTTTTGCGTTTATGTTGTTATAGGAGAGTGAGTTCTTTGCAAAGAATGGTTTCCCGAAAGCAGCGAACAGCGGTTGGAAAGGAAGGACAGGATTGTATGCGGTCGGGTTTACTAAGAGAGGGCTCTCAGGTGTGTCTATGGACGCGGTTAAGATCGCACAAGACATAGGCTCTGTTTGGAAACTCGAAACAAAACAACCCACGAAACTCACGAGGGCTGGTCATAGAAGATGTATCTCCCAACAACTCTAAGTGTAGGCGAAAGATTAGAGTTTTAGGACAGAGATAGATCACATCTTAGAGAAGCAAAGAAGAAGAGCCCTCTCCTGAAGAAGACCCATCACACGGTGTTGTGTGTGTTTGTTTTTTGTTACCGCCTCCACTTGTTGTTTTGGGAGTTTTGTGTAAACAGAGGATGATGTGGCCTTTTGTTTTCTATTCTTTTAGGGTTCTTTGATTATAATTTTTTTTGTACAAGTTGTATGTTCTTCTATTTTTGCATAGTTTAAACATCTATATTGTATACAGGTCTCACATATTTTAAAGTAAAAAAATGTTTCTATTCATTTTTATTATCTTTTATATTTTGTTGTTTAATAGTATTCCATCTTTTATCTTGCTTTTCATCTGTAAAGAAGGGTGTTTAGACCATCTTTTATTTGGTATTGAACAAAGTCCCTTTTGATAATAGTTGAAACTGAATAATTCTTAGATATTCTAATTCATTCTCAAAGTCACGTATTAGAAATATACTAAACAACTTATAATCATTCATTCAAAGTTTACACTTAAATCTTCCATATTAGGATTCATTCTCAAACTTAAATCTGGATCTTATCACAGTGAGATTAAGTCTATATATGTATATTGTCTCTCTCTGCTCTCAAGCCTTTCTAACTATATAAAACATCATGTCTAAGGGTCGTACTGCTCAGGGGTTAAGCCCATTCGAGCCAGTCTTCCAGAGTGGATTAGTCCGCAAAGTCCGTGTTTGCTCTCAAATTAGAGATCTATTCCATTTTATGGCGAAACCTTTATGACCAATCCATGGGGGTTTATCCCTAGTTGGCACGTCTAAGACTAGAGTTTATATGAATGGACTGAAATTTATTGCAACTACAGAACCAACACGATTTGTATTTTATTTTTATTATTATTCTATATACCATGCATGACCTTACGTCAATTAGAAGATCCCGAATTAATAAAAATGACATTTTCTTCCTATAAATTTGCTAAACACTTGATTTATTACATAACATTTTTTTTTTTAAATGGGTATTTTACGGTGCCATGTTAAGAGGACTAGACCAAAGTTTGTTTGTAAATTCAAGTTTATAGACTATGATAACGAATGAAATAATTCCCACTGGAAAATCGTATATTATACTATTATGAATTAACCAAATATTTGGTATATGCATATTATGCAGCTAAAAGAGGCAAAAGTTATCACTTCATTTCATCGAAAAACACATGTGCACGGGTCCCTTTAATCGAAAAAACAAGTTTCAAAGTAGTTAATAAGAACTTTGTATAGCTAAAACTTTTCTAAAAGAATTAATAAAAATGATTCTCAAACACATGATGTGATAGGTAGGTGTTTTACGTGGGTTGGAATTAATAAATTAGGCTCTTTAACAAACAGTACTTACAATTAAGTCCCACTTTACATTCAGTTCGACTCATCAATGCAATTATGAATGTCGTGGTTCATGCATCAAGTTTCGGCTTACTCTCTCGACTCATCTAAAATAGTACTGAACCATCACGAGGGTGATTGGTAAATTTCTAGAGTAATTGGGAGTAACACAAAGGGAATGGAGAGAAATGAACAGAAAAAATTGAAAATCAGAGCAAATGTTTACTCTTTTCAAAACTAGTGGGATAATAATGCGTGTTATTTTTAGCTGTAAAAATCTGTAAAAAAGATAATTTATACAGCCAATATATATATATATATATTTAAAAAATTAGGTTATAGCTTTGGATTTTTTAATAAAACTTAATTATTTTTTTAATTTTATTGTTTTCATTATAAAACTTAATAAAAAAATTAGGGAAAATTAAGACTGTGTAATCACACACACAACCATGAACCATCATCACCAACCACCTTTTATACAGCACACCTATACTGTACTTTAACCGGAATATACATTCACACCTTTTATACACACACCTTTTTATGTAATTTGACCGGAAAATAGAGATACATTTTTTTTTTTGGACAAAAAAATAGAGATACATTATGTAATTGAACCCCAAGCATTTGTCCAAAAAAAAAAAAAAAAAAAAAAAACCCCAAGCATGTCGTTGGTTGAAATTCGAAACACGGAACTCCCATAATCTAAAAAATCAATTTATATGGAAAATACCAAAACGAGAAAAGTGAATAAATATTCTGCTGACATTAAAACCCACGTGTGTTGGGTCCAATCTTCATTTATACATTAACAAAGAGATCTTATTAGAATGTCACATCAAATGTTGATCGACATACGTCCAACGTCAAAGGATAGAGCCAGCAGTTCAAAACCAATGTCGACCACAGCTTCATACATTGAATAAATTATATTATTACTATTTTTAAGAATATTATTGATATGCAGACTTATAATAATCGAATTTTAAACTTTGTATATATATATATTAACTTTGTATATATTTTCTTGGTGTATATGTTATCCTTTATTGTATGAAACATTATCGGCTTTGATAGAAAAAGGGAGATCGTTATCATAATACATGCATGTAACATTTCTGTAAAAATCATTATTAAAAAAAATTCTATAAAAATCCTCTCGACTGTTTTTTTTTTTGGTATGAACTCTCGACAGTTATCAATAATAGAATGATGAAAATTGAATAATTTTCACGTTGAAATGAAGTCTGATCCAACTGAGACTATTGCGGAAATTTCTCATATATATTATTGATACATGTTACCTAGGTACTGAATCATATACACATTAGATATCTTCGAATGGACATCACAATCAGAATTATTGACAGTATATTGATTGGAAAAAAAACTAGCTCCAGAAAGAAGTAAAATTAAAGTTCCACCAAAAATGCTTGATTTGGATATATGTATGTATCTCTATAATAATATATTGGAAGCAGAAATTCAACCAAGTGATGGTAGCTCTTTGGGCTTGGTGTGTACTCATATTAGTCCTGAGTTCGATTCCTTTTTGGGAACTAAATTATCAATATTTAGCCAGTTTGGATTTGGATTTCGGTCCAAATGGTTTATAAGGTGGATCGTAACAGATGATCGGTTCATCTCCTGACATTAGTCGGAAGATATTCTAAACTCGGATCAGACAGTGGTAACCAATCCACTCTATACCACTAAGTGCGTTCTTCCCGAAGCTGGCAGGATCAGCCGATAGGGTTTATAAAAAACAGAATTTTGGATGATTATGAATATATATATACATATATATACATGCATTATCTTATATAATGCTTATAATGCAATTATGAATCTCGTGGAACAAAACTTAGATTCACTTCCTAAGGTAACCTTTAAATTCACTTCATCTCTAATAACCATTCATTGTGCCACATAGATTAATGAATATAAATTATTAAATGTTTTTTAAAATATCAGAATAGCTAAAAAAAATAACGTCAATTTTAACAACACGAAAACCGATAGCTAAACTTTAAATCCACCCCATATCAACTAAAATCTATACTCTAATCCCTAAAAACCAAACCTAGATCTTAAATCCGAACCCTATATCCTAAATCTAAACCATATACCCTAAACTCAAACTCCAACCCCTAAATCCAAACCCTAAAACCTAAATTATAAACTCTAAATCATAAACCCAAACTTTAAACTCTATATTCAAACCCTAGAATCCAAATCTAAGTTCTAGACCATAAATCATGAATCCATACCGTAAATTCTAAATTCAAACCTTAAATTCTAACTTTAAACTCTAAAGGAACAATATCAACATTAATCCAAACATTTAGGATAAAAAATTTGGGTTTAGGATTTACAGTTTAGCTTTGAATTTAAAGTATAGGGTTTAGATTTATGGTATATGATTTAAATTCAAGATCTAAGTTTTAAGTTTAGAGTTTATAATTTAAGGTTTAGGGTTTAGAGTTTAAGGTCTAGGGTTTAGGGTTTAGGATATAAGGTTTGGATTTAGGATATAGGATCCAAATTTAGGGTATAGGATCCAGATTTAGGGTTTAGATTTTAGGGTTTGAATTTAAGGTATAGGATTGGAGTTTAGAGTCTAGATTGAGCTTTAGGGTATAGGATTTAGGTTTAAGGTCTAGATAGAATTTAGGGTTACGGTTTAGATTTAGGGTTTAGCTGGTGATGTTAACATCGTTAAAGCTGACGTTATCTTTTTCTAAGCTATTTTAGTTTTTTTTTTAAAATATTTAATATTTTTATTTATCTAAACTATTATTTGCGAAGTGATTTTTCGCAACGGAGCTCCCACGTTAAAAGTTAGAGTGGTTAATATCGTTTATACCCTTGATGAATAAATATATAAATCAGACAATAATAAAAACGAAATTAATTGATATTTATTTGATTAGATAAAGGATTTGAATTAATAATAATGATAATGATTATCCATAATCTAAATATATATTTAAAAATAAAAAAAATATAATTCCTATATATAGTGTGTTGTTATCCAAAAAATATATTTTATAAAAAAAATTCAAAAATAGAAAAAACATAAATAAATATTCATAAAGTAAAATTTTTAATTGTATATAATTGAAAATATAAAATTGAAAAAAATTATAATACGTAATTATTTTCAAACTAAAAGAATATAATAATATAATAAGGATATATATTTGTGAAGTTATTTTTCACTTCTGAACTCACACGTTAAATTAAATTTATTTTTATATTTTCTATAATTAAACTTTAAACATGAATTAATCATAACAAAATAAAAGATCCTTCAAAAAGAAAGAAAATACATATTTGAAAAAAATAAATTTTAAATATATTGTATTATTATCCAAACTAATATTATTCTTTTTGTGAGATCAATTTTGAATGTACATTTATCGATTCAATTTTTTAAATTGAAAGATAGATTTCTATATTTTTATCAATTAAGAAGAAAGGAAATGGACATTAGAATTTTTTTTTTTAAATTTGTGAATAACGTTATCATGTTAAAAGGTTTAATTTTTAGGTTAAATTTTTTGGATGCAAATAATCATTTATTTTGATGATTTTTTAAATTAATTTAAAGATAATTAAGCCCGTATGTGCGGGCAAAACACCTAGTTAATCTATGTGACACAATGAATAGTTATGAGATGTGTGGTGAATTTGAAGATTCATCTTAAATGGTGAACCTAAGTTTTGTTCAACGTCGTCGTTCATACATCAAGTTTTGGCTAGCTTCATGTACGGTCACCTCGTATTTTACCTACTTATTAGGAAATACAAGGAAATGTTGACAAATTCTATACAAAGAGTAAAAAGGTAAGGAGACGCTTACCTTATGGGGCACATTCTGAGTTTTTGTTACACTCAGAGGCACTTACCACATTGTAGGCACTTTACACTGGTGCAAGAGGAGCATGTTGACACAATTGCCCTTAATGAAACCGACATCTGGTTTGTCTCTCGCGAAATCCGGTTTGCTTCCTAGGATGAGGCATTAACGTTGTCTTTTGTATAGAGAAGAGAGCTTCATTTAGGGCCATTCGATAGGAGAGAAACAGAACTAATCCAATGGCTGAGAATTAAAGTTGAAGGGTGGTTGAGGTTGATAATGACGTGAATTTAATAGCTCTGTTTCCTTTCATCAAAAACAGGGCAACTCTACCTGTGTTGGCCGGAGGCTGTTTCCTGGAGGAGTTTAGGTAAAATAAATGATGGAGATATAATGTTTCGAAAAAAGATGGAGATATAATGTATTGTTTTTTTTAAAGATTCTGTTATATTTGTTGCAGGTTTGTGAAATGGAGGAGCAGTGCATGGTAATGTGCGGAGAATGGGTTTGTGGTGACTCAGGGAAGTGGAATTTTGTTCTGAACAAAAGTCAGATGGCGAGGCTGGTTCCTCTGTACGAAGGAATGTGTTTGAGAGAACTTCAAGGGAACGTCTTGCGTGAGTTTGGTGTTGAAGAAGATGAGTTTGTTGCATCTCTTAGCTACTGGCCGCCATCGAGTTTTGAACTAGCTACCGGAATAAGGACTCCACCTGTAGTCTTAACAAGTGATGGAGGGATTAGGTACTTCTTGCAGCATCTGAGAGTAAAAGGAGGTATGAATCTGTTCGTTAAGTTTGAAAGGATTTCGAAGGGCAATGAAAACGTGGATGACTCAGGGATGGGGTTTGTAACTCCAGCGACTTCTAAAACTAAGTTTAGTCAAAATGGTAAATCTAGTTCGTTAAGTGGTGGTGATGTTACATCAGAGATGGGGAAAGCAAAAGCTTCGTGTGGGGGTGATGTTAACATGGAAGATGTTCTGTTTGTAAGGTCATTGAGAGCTGGTGTTACATCAGCAGTCAGGGAGAAGCCAAAAGTTTTGAACTTGGATGATGATGAGTTTGTAAGAGAGGTAGAGAGAGTTGAAGAAGAAATCAAGGAGAAGAATTCTAACCAAAAAGGAAAAGGGGTCGAAAGAAACGATGATGTAAGTGGTGGAAGTTTGGGTGACGAAGATGGAGTTTTTAAAGATGGTGAGCTTGACGAGAGAGACATAAGACCCAGAGGTTACGACAAAGAGTTTTGGAGTCCACTCCTTAACGGTGACTATGGTGGGTCAGATGCAGTGAATGTTATCTATAATGAGGAAGAAATCGTGGACGGTTTAGCCAAGAAGACGGGACCGAGACGGTACACGTGCACTAGTAATGATGCATTTGACCATTTTGTCGAAGAAGGTGGTTCAAGCAATCCAGTGGGTGAGGAGAAACACCCGTGGATGGGTGGTAGCAATGAAAACCCGTGGAGGGGTGGGAACACAAACACTCATAACGTAGAAAGGAATACACCTGTTTCTATGAGGAAGCTAGAAGACGTTGATGATGAAGAGTTTGATATCCCCCCACTATTTGATGATACAAGCTATGCTGCAGCAGAGATACCAGACATGGATTTAGAGGAAGAAGATGGAAAAATATATGTGGGGAAGGTATTTGGTAACAAAGAAGATTGTCAGATCTCATTGGCAATATATGCTATTAGGAACCAATTTAAGTTCAGGCAGACAAAGACCAAAATAGATTCCTTTGTTGTTCAGTGTCCTGATCCCAAATGTGATTGGCGTGTAACTGCTCATGAGATAAGAGGGTGTGGATATTATGAGATTAGAAAAGCTCAACTCGATCATCGTTGTCCAATAGATTTTAGGATGGGTTACAAGAGTAGAGCAACTTCTCGAGTGATTGCAGCTGTGTACAAAGCGAAGTTTGGGAATCCAGTTAAAGGGCCAGTACCTTCAGAATTGCAGAGGCTTTTGCTTGAGGATCTTCGAGTGACAGCTTCTTACATGAAGTGCTATAGGGCAAAAGAGAAAGCGGTAACAAGCATCCTGGGTTCCGATGAAGAGTCTTACCTGAATCTGCCTGTTTACTTACACATGTTGAAGCTTGCAAATCCGGGAACAATAGCTGATATTGAGACCGAGGTAGATGATGATGGTGATGAGAGATTCGTGTATTTGTTTCTTGCATTTGGGGCATCAATCAGTGGCTTTAAAAAGCTTCGTCTTGTGCTGGTGATAGATGGAACACATTTAGGAGGAAAATACAAAGGGGTTTTGCTGACAGCAAGCGGGCAGGATGCAAATTTTCAGATTTTTCCTCTAGCTTATGCTATTGTGGATAGCGAGGATGAAGATGCGTGGACGTGGTTCCTGATGAAGGTGGAGAGGCTATTGGGTGATTCTCCGATGCTTGCAATCATCTCAGACAGGGCGGCTTGTATATCAGCAGCTGTGAAACGTGTCTATCCAACTGCTAATCATGGTTGTTGCATAGTGCATTTGGCAAGAAACGTCAATTCTAGGTACTCTAGCAAAAACTTAGCAAAAATGGTTACATCAGCTGCAATGGCATACCGACAACGAGATTTCAGAGATCAATACGGTAAAATAAGGGCGCAGAGAAGTGAGTGTGGAATTTATCTTGGTAAGATTGGTACTGCTCATTGGTCGAGGTCTAATTTTCCAGGAGATCGATATAATATTATGACTAGTAATATAGCAGAGCAGCTTAACAATGCTCTTGTTGAAGGAAGATGCTCACCTATAATGGAGTTGGTGAAGTTCATTCAAAGGATGATGACAAGATGGTTCAGTGCAAGGAGGAAAAAATCGGATAGACATAGTGGAATGGTTAGTCTAGAAGTGGACAAAGAGATGACAAAAAATATGGCAACGATGAAGGGGAGCAAAGTTAATTCTGTCTGTGAATGGAGTGTTGAAATAGTCGGAAAGTTTGGTGGGAAAAATCGTGTTCATCTCGGGCAGAAGCAGTGTGATTGCAAGTATTTTGATAAAATTAAAATTCCATGTGGTCATGCTATGATTGCTGCTGACAGTTTGGGAGTCCCTTATGAAACATTGGTTGGACACTGGTACAAGACTTCGACATGGAGGGAGACATATGCTGGGATTATCAGTCCAGAAGGAGATCCCCGAGATGTGGATATCCCTGAAGACGTGAGTAGCATGGTGTTGATGCCACCTTTGACTAAGAGGCCACCTGGGCGCCGCCGCAAAAACAGAATCCTTTCAACGGGTGAATTTCCGGTAATGTATATTTATATTTACTCTTACTGTTGGGTTGAGTGATTGATAAACGATAATAAGTTGAGAATCCTATATTTCAGGTGACTAAGAAGAAAAAGCTTGTTCCAAACAAGTGTGGAAGGTGTCGTATCGAAGGACACAACCGTACGAACTGCACAAATCCAATATAAGTGTAGTTGGAAAAGAGAGTAAACGGAGGAGTAGTTTTTTGGGGTGTGATTGTTAGGATGGAGAATGATTTTGGAGAAATTTCTGTGGTGTTTGGCTAGTACCAGTCTTTTTTTGTGTTGTGGTCAGTTAGAACCCACTTTTGTGTTGTAATGCAAGATTATGTATGATTTCTCATTATGTATTGATTAAGGATATTTGTGATGTCGATTTAGACAAGGTTGTTAAGGTGATGGAGGCTAGTATCTTGGCTACAATCGTTTGAAACTACCAAGTTAGATAACAATTCCATAAATAAGTCAGATACATAATTTTGAGCATGAAACAGAAACAAAAACAAGTGCCAAATAAAAGATAGAGTAGTTGAAACAGAAACACAATACATTGGCACATAGAACAAGATAGAGGAGTTTGGGAATGAGTCAGATAAGCTTCCAGTAAATGGAAGACATAGCTCCAATTACTGCAATAGCTATGGTAAATTTAGTGATAGGGCCATTGGTAGTAAAAATGGAGTTGTTGTGAGAGTTGTCCTTTGCTGCAATTACTAACTTCAGCTTCTGTGTTTCTTCATTCAACATTGTCGACATCTGCAACAAATTATCTTTGATTTGCTTCATCATTTCTTCATCCCTAGAGAGTAGCAAAGACCTCTGAGACTGAAGCTGGGCACTGAAATCTTTCGAAAGTGCTTGGAAATCATGAAGTAGATCCAAACGCTTAGCATCGACAATTCAAACCTCATATAGTATTGCTTCGTCAACCCATTTAAACAGATGAGCTTCAGATTTGTTCTAAAGGAACAATCAAAGACAAAGAGTATGTGAGGAATGTTTAGTTGTTGTATTGAGAGATGAAGTGGAGTTGAGAATGAAAACCTGGAGAGCGATTTTGCATCGGTAGAATCTACGGTAAGGGTTTTCCTTGGTCTCAGAGACCCAGGTGTCGAGGGCTTTGCCACACCAACATTTCGAAGGAACGCCGTAGACGTGTTTACGCGAGCCAGAGCGGGAGGTCGAGGAGGAGGAGCTGGTCATCGTGATTTGTTGTTACTGTGGAGAGAAAACCCTAGTGGAGAAACCCCCAAATCGATTGCTGTTAAAGATAAGGCGTAGAAGACACCGGTTAGGTATTTGTATGAAGTCAAAAAAATACAGGCCGGTTTTGAATTAATTTGGGTTGTATCGAAGGTTAGGGTGAACCGATTAGAATGTTATTTGTTGATTTATTTTATATTATAAATAAAGAGAAATCATAAATAAAAGAAGCAGAAATTGAGGGGGATTGGTCCGAGATTTGTTCTGAAGCTGTATCTGTAGGAGATAACTCTTAATCTGAAGCCCATACGTGGTCGGGATTCCTAGCGGGTACTCGGTTGGGATCCAGAGCGTACATGGTCGGGATCCTTATCGGTACGTTGTGGATTGAGGGAGGTATACGTTGTCGGGAACCCAATAGGTGGATGTGGATAAGTGATTTGGGATCCCTTATCCAAATGGGTGACCTATTGGGATCCCGTCCACGTTAAAAATCGGGAAAATATGGGATATCGGCCACGTAGAATATCGGGAACCAGATATGTGGACGGGATCCCCATAATCTAATCGGGATCCCCGACGATGTACGGCCTACGGATCCCGACTAACTTATCCATATCCACCTATCGGGATTACGTCCACGTAGAAGATCAAGAACACGATAGCTGGACGTGAACAACCATGTATGTTGTTGTGCTTAACTTCGCCGCGGCATCCCCTTATTTTACCGACCACGTACTTTAGCGGGATACTCGACCACGTATGGGCTCTGGATTAACTTATGTTCTGTGGATACAAACCGAGTACCCGCTCGGGATCCCACATATGGGGCCACATTTGGATAAGATCTTCAAAAAAGGTCCGGGCCAACCATTGGATAACGGATCATGACTAACTTATCCAGACACACCTATCGAGATCCCGTCCACGTAGAAGATCGACAACCCGATAGGTGGACGGGTACCCGTACATTATCGGGGATCCCAATTAAATTATGGGGATCCCGTCCACCTATCTGGTTCCCGATATTCTACGTGGCCGAGATCCCAATAGGTGGGTCTGGATAAGTTTGTCGGGATCCATTATCCACTGGTGACGCGATAAGTAAATCTCGAGAACAACTGACATAAGTGAAAAAACAGGAAAACATAAAAACAAAAAAACAAAAAAACAAAAGTTCAACATAAGTTTAACACCATAATATTACACAAAAGGGTGAACATAAGTTTAACATATTACAAAAGGGGGATCGACACCCATAGTTGAGAGAAAAATCAAAAGCGTCTAAAACATAGATGACATCCGGTGACATTGTTTTAGAAAACAGTAAGTAGCCGAAAGATTAGTTTTGGAAACCAGTGAGTAGCCGAAAGATAAGTTTTGGAAAATAGAAGAGGAGAATGACAAGTATCAAGCCATGGGTGGAGCGTAGTAAGAAGGCATAACGATGGTCTTGTAGATGTCGAGAGCGTACTGCTTCCGAAGTGCATCAACAGTTTTGTCTGAGAACGTGGCCATCTTGGATATCAAATCACCGTGTGCGTGCATCTCCAAGAACTTTACAGCAACAGGGCCACAATCACCAGATCTCTCGTTGATGTAGAGGTCTGGGATACGATACCACGCAAAAGGTTTTAGCCCCCGAAATTGAGTAAGCTCGAAAGCAGCAACCTTCTTAACAAGGTAGGGTAACGCCTTCAAAACAGGAGCCATGAAACGAGCAACAGTAGTGTCTTTGTAGAAGGTGGGCAGTGGATCTAGGATTTCAACACAACCCAAATCAAGGTTTATAGCTAAACCAACCCAGTGTTTGTTGCCCCATAACATCGGTGTATAGACAGTGACTACATCTTCCATCCATTTCCTGCCAGGACGGAGAACGAGTTGAGTGAGCTGCTCGCCCCAGTCGAAACATTCTTTCTTCCTTGAAGCGGTGAACCTTTTGGATATGTCCTTGATTCCAAATGCAAGAGAAGGTGGAGCAAAGGCAAGTTTCTGATCCTGGAGAAGACGATTATGCCTTCCAGCTAGCATGTACATGAGAATTTCCATGTGCTGGAAAAAAATTTATATTAGTAAGAAGAAAAAATTTATAATAAAACAGAGGGAGGGGACATACATATGCTGATGTCCAGTGCTTAGGCTCTGCTAGTTGGAGAAGGAAGTTGTTGGTAAACTCGAACTCAGAAGGTGTTATGTGGAACCTAGAGTCAAAAATAATCAGTCTAAAAATGTTAAACAGCCATATAAAACAACAAGAATTACGAATATTGGTACTTACACATCCTTATTGTCGGAAATGAACCTTTCAAAAAGATCCCATTCAATCTGAGGCAATTGGCTGATTACGTCAACAGCTGGGATGGATTTACATCTCATAAGATGTCCTGCAAGTTGGTTTTCCTCGCACGTTGGTTGATGCCTGGGCCTTGGTCTGCCAGGGGAGCCCTCACTCAGTTCAACGATGTCAATGTCTTCTTGTTGTTCATCCTATTGGGAAAACACAAAAACACTATTTGTAAATTAAATGGAAAATAGGATGAAATACAAAGGATAAGAACCAGTAGGGATGTTGATATCAGACCTGGATGTTGGGGACGTCAAGTACTCCAACACTTAGAGGTTTGGAGGAAGCAGTCGCTGAAAATGCATTAGTTGCTCGCGCATGAACTAGGAAACCAGACTTGCTATCTCCACTTTTGTCCGGAGAAGTGTCGGGTGTGAAAGGTAGTCTACGAGAGGCTTGGTTGTGGGAGGAGTCGTATTTTGGTTGAGTAAGAGAAGGTGGGTCAGGGCTGACTGCATCAAAAATCTCAAGACCTTGGTACATCCAATGGTGGAGCTCCGGGCTATTAGGGTGATCACTAATATCATATATGACTGATCGAGTGCGAAAACAAGGGAGGGTACTTTGATTTGGCTTGATGTCTGTTGTGGTGGTAAAGAGTGGTGTGGTAGGAACTGGAGAGGTGATGTGGATGGGAGACGATATGTGGATGAGGGGTGTTATATGGATGGGTGCAGCGATGTGAATGGGTGAGGTGTGGCTAGGTGAGGAGTGGACTGGTGGGTCATCTACGTGATGTGGAGGAAGCAATGGAGCTAGTACAAGTGGGGGCTTGGGAGGTGAGGTTGAGGAGATTGAGCCGTACTGATGTGCACCATATTGGCTGACGATTGGGGTCTCGCTTAAAGTGTCATCTTCATCCATAGGCGAGACCTGTGATTTAAAGTGTCAACATTAAAGTAAGTGGGTTTGATTTTTAAAAAATAGATAGGTGAAAAGTAGAACTTACATTTTCGGTTAGAGATTCAGTCTGGCATCCCTTGTCGAAAGTTTGAGGGGAAGCTTCAGTCTGACAGGCTGTATGGGTTTGGTGATGATTCTTTCTTCGGGCAAGTAGAGAGTGGAAGGGGGAGCGTTTCATTGAAGTGGGACATTCCTGCGTTTTATCAATAACCGTAGCTGTTTTGACTCACTCTCAAGGTTCGAGAGCTTGGCAGACATTTCAGAAAGAAGTTTGAGTACTTCATCATTTAAGTTTCCGGCGAGACCAACATGAGGAAAATAGTTACTGATTCTTCTCTGCTTACGGGTAGATGGAACATTCCTGGAAGACTTCCTTGGCTTCAGGGATTTAGACTCAGGCTTTCTAGTTTTCATCGCTTTGCTTGGAGATGATTTAGACTCAGACTTTCTAGGTTTCATCTCTTTGCTTGGAGATAATTTACACTTACTGGGTGCAGAAGTGTCTCCACCAGGCCACATGTGCTTATGGAATGGCTGATGATCAGATATAAGTTGTTCCATATACAAGACCCTTTCATCGTGACAGAGATCAGGCCAAACTCCCCAACCAGATTCTGGTTTACGATGTATTGGGATCAAAGATGTAACTTCAAGCTGCAATAGGAAAATGGTTTAAATTAGGAATTAGAACTTCAAGTATAATGAAAAACATGACAATACATAATAGGAATTCTTACATCTGGATCATCTTCCACAAGTAATATATCAGCTTGGGAAGGCGCTGGGAAAACAGGAAGATGATCATCGTCAAGGTCCATGATTGAAAAAGGACCAGGAGGAAGTGGGATCGTTGACTGCAGTTTGGGAATTGCCTGATAAGCGAGAAGTTGTAGTGCAAGGGGGAATCCCTTAAGTCTGAAAGTTTCCTGCTTTAGCAGCTGAACCAAAGTTGCGACTGGGTCTTCACATTTGGTAGTAACAAACTTCGGAGGCTTCATGCAAGTTATAGTCTTGAGAAAAGACTCTCTACCCCAAGGGTGTGAGCAAAATGCATCAAGGTCTTGTACCATTTTTACATACTTGAGAGTGGGGCGTGGAGTTTGTTGATGAGCGATGAGGACACCATCAACAATAATGATCAAAGCAAGACGAAGCTTCTTCCAACCTGGCATATTGTGATCAGTCTCTAGCTTGTGACGTAAATCGGGAATGGTGGTGAACTTTTTCTTCCCAATCAGCTTGATCCAATCTGGGTCTTTATTTGCTTCACGCTGCTCCTCCCAATCAGTGATGTATCCTACAGGGAAAGGTCCACAAGGCAGTCCAGTGATAGTGCCAAACTCTTCGAGGCTGAACCTGAGTGGATCCTTGCCGAAAACGGACCAGAGGGTGTGGGGGTCTTCACAAACTAGTTGTCTCGAGAGTAAGCAGTGAATTAACTGACACGAAACAGGGCATTGACTGGCTGTGAGGTCAAATAACTTCCCAAAGCATGAGGCTTTAATGTATCGGAGCTCGTCTGTGTCGCGTAACACATGTCTGATGAAAGCTATAAGGTCTGGCTTGGAGTATATGTTGAGTCGTCCCTTCGGAAACCTGTCGGTGGCAAAGAGGCGCAGTGGGAGACGTTGGTCAAGCCGCTTTTTTCCTAACAAATCATGCCACAAAAAGATGTGATATCATCAGAGACGGTAAACTCCATATCACGACAAAAAGAAACCCCAATTCACAGAGAGTAAAAAATCGAAGAGAGAATAACTCTAAACAAAACATGCATGTCGCGATTTCATCGAGAACAAAACTCCAGATCTCTATCGCTAGGTAAGAGAGTGTACAGAACAAAACACAGAAACGGCTTGATTGAAGACAAAAATAAAGATCTCGTAATAAAAAAAACAGGTTTAATCGAAACAAAAAAATGGATGAGGCGATCTAATCGGTTCCAAATTTGAAGATCTCGAAATTTAAAAAAAAAAGAAACAGCACAAAACAACCGAGATTGCAGAACACGAACCTCCCATGGCTTGAAGAGGAAGATGGAGAAGCCGAGATTCGGTGAGTTATCTTACGGAACCGGTGAGATTTTGGAACGGCTAAAGAGAGTGGGGTGGGAAGCGAAGAAATGAAACTAGGGTTCGTGTATGTTGGTTTGGTGTGATACTCTCTCTGTTGGTTTGATAGAATGAGACCGGTTCGTGAGAGTGGGTTTGATCTGATTCTCTCTCAGCAGTAAATCAGGGGTAATATCGACTTTGTATGGGACAGAAGGTTGCAACATGTAGAAAGAGGCTTCAAATGTAATTAAAAAGTCAAATTGTGCCTCGGGGAGTAAAAAAATCAAAGGTAAGTGGGTAGCATATGGGAATGGTCACAAATTATCCAAGGGAGATTATACTCATGTTCAAGGGTCCATATTGTCCATCGTACAAATTACCAAAGTCTGCAAAAATAAGGGTTTGTTCGTTTCACATGCTATGTCAAAGACAAATATTCATATATATACAACCCAAGAAAGAAGAATCCAACAAACACTTCGTACGTAATACACGCAATGTTTCAAAGTTCAATTTAAGTAACTCATTTCACAAGTCCATCGATCAAGGTACATACCGAAAGAAATTTATAATAATGTATGTTATACGAGTAGGAAGTACTTCTCCAACAAGTAACCCCAAGGTAGACAATATATAAATAGAGTGTGAGTTTCTCTTCTTTTTTTTGGATAAAAGAAACAGGTACGTAAAGAGTAATAATAATTCAGACGTACTGGTTTAATCATTGGGATGGGTAAACTTTTGAGTGGAACATTATTGCACCCATGTCTCTATATCACTTTTTGAGGTATCTACAACCCCACACACACAGAAATTCTGGCTCCAAATGGTTGCGGATCTAGCGGATCAAGTGAATCAAAAATAAATCTAATAAATCTAACAGTACAAGTGTAAATTGAGCAGTTTTAGCAATCTAAAATATATATTTGAATAGTGAAAGTAGATAAAAACAGTTTAAAATACTGTAAAAGTTACAAAATAATCTATATAAAATGATATATTATTAATTATTTGCATAATTTAAAATATTTTTATTAATTTATAAATGTAATAAATAAAAATTATATATATATTATTTTTATTTTATAGTAATTTATATAAGTATTATGATTTATAATTAATTATATAAGTATTATTATAAATTTATTAAATCTATTTATCTTTACTCATTTAGTCTATTATGTTATTTATCTTTGTTATCTAAATTTAGTTTATAAGACTTCTAATAGTATATATTTAGTTAAAAAAAGGAAAACATGAGAAATAATAGATAAGTATTATATAAATATTTTTAAACTAGGATAAATTATAAATTTGTTTTGTCACATAAAACATATTTAATATATATTGGTAGAGCAAATAATGAATTAAAAACATTTTATAGCTATAACAAATTAAATATCTATATTGTACTTTATAATTTTCAAAGGCAGAACCACTTTCTACACCAAATGTGAAGTGGAATTACTGTTACTAACAGATCACGGTTTTCCCTCACAAAACTGAACCACCTATGCAACTATTCGAACTGTTTTATTATTTACCTTATTTTATTAAGAAACACAGGTGGATTGTTTTTATTTTGTGAATGGGAAAGAAGTTGCGGACGTACCACTTTAGGTTTAGGAACCGTCTTCGGTCCGTTCCCCATTGTCTTTCTGTGGGGATTTTAATTAGTTCCTAATCCGCCAGACTTCATTTTAAATATTTCCAAAGTTTTAGATATCTGGAAAATAAGGTTATAGAAGTGAAGGCAAGGGTACATAGACTAAAATAACGATCTGGTTATTCAAATTCAACCTAAACTTATATAACATACGTCTTAATCTATAGTTGTATGCAATATTTTATCTCTCACTTGGTATTTTAGAAACTTGATTGTTCTGTGTAATTGTATATTATTATAAAATATAATTTCTGGAATCCACAAATTTAAATACCTAAAATAATTGAATCGGGATGATACATATCTCTGAATATTTTTTTATGTATTTAATTTGTGCCAATCTTTGATGTACAAATTACATATATTATATATATACGCATGGATGGACACGGACAACACAAGGAACTTGAACAAATGAGAGTAATTGCCAATTATTTTGGCCAGAATTTTAATACCATTGTTTATAATTAAAGGACATACATCATGTACATATCAAATATGTGTTTATATATATATATATATATATATATTATGTATGTCAGTAGAGCAAAGATTTGGGTTATAAACTTATAAATGAATGCAGAAAATGTTGGTGGGATGGTGACAAAACCAAATTGGGAAACAATGAAATAATTCGAACCCATGACGTTACAACTGGTTAAAAGTCCCCACATGATCTTATCAAGGTAGGTCCATAGATGAGTTGTTTCTCACGATTTTTGCTATGGCCCCTTAGTGTAATATACGTACTTTTTGCTAAAGAATTTTCCGCAGATTCACCACATATATATAAAACAGAGTTTACCACACAGTTGATATGAACATGGGGTTATTATACCAGTATGCCTCACCAGGAGCCGGATTAAAACGATAAACTTGCCAAAAAGGTATTGGTAAAAATGATTTCCAAAGTAAAATTTATCTTAAGTCAATAATTAGCCAAGCAAAACACTATAGGCGCTACACGTACGTAAACGTTCCAATGAACGTGCACCAAAATATTTAATAAAATATCTACAAATATTTTTATTTTATTTTTCTAAGATAAAAATCAAACAGGCAAAGACAAAAGATATATAATTTCTTTGTCAAGTGTGCGTCTAGAAAATTTCTATTGTTTTTCTATATTAATTTTAGGTATCTGACCGAACCTATGGAAACTATTATATAAAGAGAAGTCTAATCTACAGATAAATCTTCTATATGGATATGCAAATGAACTGTAAATATGAATCCACATCTGTGTAGGTATCTAAAACAATATAATTTAGTTTTGTATAGCAGATCGATAGAATTTGAAACTTCAAACAATATAATTTAGTTTTGTATAGCAGATCGATTGAATTTGAAACATGTTATTAGTGTTTTAAACTCTTACTAGAGTTTGACCCGCACGGATGTGTGGGTATATTTTTTATTTTATAAATGTATAACTAAATTTTTTAAATATATGATTTATATTTTATTTTTAATTAAATTAAATTTATAATTATATTGGCTGAATTGGCATAAAACCCTAAAAAGTGTTGAAATTAATGAATTACCCATGATGGGACAAGTTTAGTGTCTAGGAAGGAAGGTGTTATGATGTGGGATTTAGGGTATTGGCTTAATTAGAGAATAAGTTGTGTATATAGAGTGCAATTCACTATATTTAATAACAAAATAAAGAAATACATATTTTATATAAATTATTTAAAAAATTTGGTAAGTTATTGTTAGATTTTTTTTTCAACAGATTTTGTTATATTTACATTGATTTATTATTAATATATTTATTAATTATTAAGATATTTTGGAAATAATATATATTTGATTGGTTAAGTAACAATCAAATATGTTATGTTAAATAACTAGTGATATGGTCCAACATGACTTCTAAATAGTAGATAAACTAGGTGTTTGCCCGCACTTCGGGCATAATTCTCTTATGGATATTTTTTAGTTTATGTTTTATTAATTTAAAAACCAGCATAATAATTTATTATTTATGTTTTAAAAAAGTACAAATCAAACATCACATAATTACCAATGAAAAAATTCAAGCATCAGAAATATTTAAAATAATATATTTATATAATTCTTTTGCTTGATTTAT